GCGCCGGCCGGCGGGGGCGGGAGCTGGGGCGGCGGTCCGGCCCGAGGGCGCCTCCTTCTGGCGGCGCTGGTGCTCCTGTGGGCGCGGGGCGCCAGGGGCCAGAGCAGCCCCCAGCGGGGCGCGATCCTAGGCATGAGGCTGGTGAGCTGCAACAAGTCGTGTGGGATGGACACGGATGGCATCATCTTCGTGTCCGAGGGCAGCACGGTGAACCTGAGGCTGTACGGCCAGAGCCTGAGCGACATCTCTAGCAACCTGATCTCCTTCACCGAGGTGGACGACGACGACACCGCCCGCAACTCCACTACCTGCCCAGAGCTCACCAAGGACCTGGTCATCCAGCAGCTGGTCAACGTGAGCCGTGGGAACACGTCCGGGATGCTCGTGGTGGTCACCAAGTTCCTGCGGAGGAGCGAGAACAAGAAGCTGTACGCGCTCTGCACCCGGACTCGAGCTGATGGGCCCTGGGTCAGGTGGACGGACAAGGACTCACTGCTGGTCATGATGGAGGAACACGGGAACATCCTGCCCCTCTGGCTGCACATCCTCCTGATCATGGTGCTTCTGGTGCTCTCGGGTATATTCTCGGGCCTCAACCTGGGGCTCATGGCCCTGGACCCCATGGAGCTACGCATCGTGCAGAACTGTGGCACTGAGAAAGAGAGGAAGTATGCCCGCAAGATCTTGCCCATCCGGCGCAAGGGCAACTACCTGCTCTGCTCACTGCTGCTGGGGAATGTACTAGTCAACACCTCCCTCACCATCCTTTTGGACAACCTCATCGGCTCCGGCCTCATGGCGGTGGCATCCTCCACCGTTGGCATTGTCATTTTTGGGGAGATTGTACCTCAGGCGCTGTGCTCCCGGCACGGGCTGGCCGTGGGTGCCAACACCATCATTCTCACCAAATTCTTCATGCTACTCACCTTTCCCCTCAGTTTCCCCATCAGCAAGCTCCTGGATTTCGTCCTGGGTCAGGAGATCCGCACTGTGTACAATCGGGAGAAGTTGATGGAGATGTTGAAGGTGACAGAGCCCTACAATGACCTGGTAAAAGAGGAGCTAAATATGATCCAGGGGGCCTTGGAACTAAGGACCAAAACGGTGGAAGATATCATGACCCAGCTTCACGACTGCTTCATGATCCGGAATGATGCTATCCTGGACTTCAACACCATGTCGGAGATCATGGAGAGTGGCTACACGCGCATTCCTGTGTTTGAAGGTGAGCGCTCCAACATCGTGGATATTCTGTATGTCAAAGACTTGGCCTTCGTGGACCCTGATGATTGCACCCCCCTCAAGACCATCACCCGCTTCTACAACCACCCGGTGCACTTCGTCTTCCATGACACCAAGCTGGATGCCATGCTAGAAGAGTTCAAAAAGGGTAAGGACTGTGCAGCTCTCTGATCACATGTCTCTGGCACCTCTAATTCTCATGTGTGTTTATTGGCTGCAGATTTTAGCGTTTGGGTTGCGCTGACCCTTTGCTCCTCTCCTTCCCCTCTGAGGTGATTGGTACTAGGCATGGTGCTTAAGTGTCTGCCGACTTCAAGGTTCTGTGCTTTGTGCTCTCACATGAATCAAAGTGGGAAAAGACACACTTGTTCACTTTTGGGGACAGAGTGAGACTTCAGGGAGCAGGATAGAGCAAGGCCAGTGCCCAAAAAGAGGCCAGTGGGGACAGGGCTGGGCAGTGGTGGAAACCTTCACAGGGAGGGAACATTTGGGGAGAGTGTTGGAAAGATGGAGTGGTTTGGCACTTGAGACAGGATGAGCCACATAGACAGCCTGCGTGGGGAGAAGCTACAGATGTGCTTGTGGGACAGGTGACATAGATGGAACACTGGCCCAGTTGATGAGCAGCCAGTGGGGGAGAGAGGCAGGGGTGTCCGGGCTTTGGGTGGACAGTAAGTTCGTTCCAAGCTTGGAGCCCTGGAAGGTTTTCGAGCTGGGGAGTGACGTCATAGGAGCGCTGAGCCCACAGAAACAAAACAGGGAGGTCTCTGAACAATGCCAAGTAATACATTCCGCTATTCAGCAGAAGCGAGCAGATTAAGTTTGGTGATTGTTCTGTCTTTCCCAGGCGCCAGACATAAGCCTGCCCCTGTGGTCTGCGGGAGCCCCGCTGGCCTCGTGCCACCACATGCTCTTTTCTCACGTGTGTTCTTGGCCACTTCTCAGGTGGTCAGAGGCCTGTAGAAGGATCACTCCACCCTCAGCCTCACCTCAAAGCCCCAGGCATGCACCCTTCCCTTCCTTCCAACCAAATTTTCCTCCCACCTCAGCCACCCAGAACCCCTGAGTGCAGTAAACAAGGCAATTATGGAAGAAAACCCTCTTGGGCTGCAGGAGGTGAGGAGGCAGACAGGGCCGGCAGCGTGGGATGGGGGTCTTTAGAAGGAATGGGGAGGTGGGGGCCTGGCACCTTGAGCTCAGTCCCCATCTCCTTCCTGTAGAAGAGGTGCAGAGGTTGAGGCTCAGGCAGAAGCCACCCTCTTATTCTTTATTCATTTTAGAAAAAAGTGATACTGGGGATTGAACCCAGGGCTTTGACACTGAGCTACATTTTATTTTGAGACAGTCTATCTATGTCAGTAATTCTCCAGACTGAGCTCAACCTTGCCATCTTTCTGCCTCAGCTTCCTAGAGTGCTGTGTGCACACCAGCACCACGCTTTGGACTCCGTCTTGAAGCAAATGCAGGTCGTTTCTGGATGGAGAGTAAGGACAGCCTTGGAGTAGTTTAGGGAGGTAGCAGGTAGCTTGGTTGGAAAAGATGTTTGGGTCTAGGTTGAAGCAAGTGTAGTAGGTTATATCCTTCCTTGGTAAGTTTGCCAGACCGGATCTTAGCACCTGAGCCGAGGGGTATTGGAGGACTGTAAGCCAGAGTAGGAGATAGCAGGGTGGAGGCCTGGCGGACATACCTGTGCTGCTGTGGGGAGGAGCATGAGGGTGCAGACCCAGGGTTCTGGTCCTCCCTGGCCCAGCAGAGGCAGAGAAGCAGTGAGGAGCAAGCCTCATCCCGGGACTCTTCTTCCAGTTTCCTGGTTGGGAACCTGCTGAGGACGCCCAGGGCAGCTTCCTCTGCTCACCCCTGTGGTCTCCAGAGGTGGTGGGACCCGCCAGCCCAGTGAGATCTGGATCCAACCCCAGATCTGGATCCAACCGTGCGGGCTGGCCATGCCCAGAATGGGTGGGGGCATCTTGGGGCTCTGCCAGGCCATCCTTGGACTCCTTCTGGTAAAGAAGCACCTTTTTGTTGAGCTGGGAGGACAGTTTACATTTTTGAGGCCAGAGCTCTGTTGAGCACAAATCTGACTCACCTCAGAGCCTGGAGTCTAGAATCTGGGGGACACTGAGCTGAGCCTTGCAGGGGCACCAGCCATCCCTGGAAAAGCTGGAACCGTCAGCCTCAGGCTGTCTTTTCCTGCTTCCTGGAGGATTGGGAAGTTATAAATTGTCACACCAGATTCCTCCCAGGTCGGTCTTTCCCAGGTCTTTCCATCTGACATTTGCCTTTATTCTGAGGCTACCCAGCTTGAAGCAAGCCAACCTGGGTATATATCTGCAACTTAAAAGATTTTCTTTACAAGTTTTATATTTATTGTTTTGAGTCAAGATCTTGTTATGTAGTTCAGGCTGGCCTTGAATTCAGTATGTAGCCCAGGCTACTCTGAAACTCACCGTGATTCTGCTGCCTCAGCCTCCTGTTCTTTATACATTTAGTGTTTGAAAAGTTTCCTTTTTTGTTAAGAGGAAAACAATTGAGCAAGGTCAGTGTGGCCAGTGTAGTCAGCAGCAAGTACCAAAACCAGAGCTGGGGTTCTCCCTGGATCCTCACCTCCACGTTGGCTAAGAGCTCTGAGCCTGGCACTGCCAGAGCCCTTCTGCCAGGCTTTGATTCTCCTTCAGGGCCCTTTTAACTTCCTTCCCCAGCCGGCACAATGAACTTCTGAGAGTGGGAGTGCGGCCTGGTGCTCCCAGGACTCAGCACCTTCTGGAAATGGGTCTTCCAGAAATGTGTGCTGAACAGGTACGTGAATAGCGTGTGAGCTGGTGACTGTGCGGCCAGCCTCACAGCTGAACTCTTCCTTGAGCACACCAGGAACACCCAGCTTGGGACCCTAGCCGTTCTCTGACCCAGGGTCAGGGGGCTCACTGTCTTTCCCCTTCATACTTGCTTCGGGGCAGCTTAGTGAGGCCATCCTGTCACTCTGTTTAAAACTGCTGGAACTGGGACTGGGGATATAGCTTAGCAGCATAAGCGCCTGCCTGGCAAGTGCAAGGTCCTGAATTTGATCCCCAGTACCCAAAAAAAAGATAAAGGTTTAGGGCTGGGGAGATGGCTCAGTAGAATAAGTGCTTTACTGGCATGCACAAGGGTCTGAGTTCAATCCCCGGTTCTGCCAAAAGTTAAAAAATATATATATAAAACTGCTGGAATTACAGGTGCAGACCTGAGAGACCAAGGCAGGAAGGTGGAAAGTTCAAGCCCAGCCTGAGCAATTTAGCAACCTAGTGCGACTATGTCTCAAAATAAAGAATAAAAATGATCTGGGGATGTAGCTCAGTGTAAAGGCCCTGGATTCAATCCCCAGTACCACCAAAAAAACCCCAAAAGTAACCAAAAAACCCAGTCCTCCATCCTCCCTTCTACCTGACTGTCCCCACCTCCCCTACCATGTGCTCATTTTGGTCTCCTCAAAGCGCTCTCAGGCTTCCGCATCTGTGGGCTTTGCTGATTGGCCATCTTGCTGTCTCCCCGCCCCCCGCCATAGCTCCATTCCAAGGCTTCATCTTGTTTAGGGCCACCTCTGTAGCCCCCCATCTGCTCTGGGCACACAGTGAGGCCTCAGTAAAATGTCACTGGTGAATTAATGAAAGAATGACCTTTCCACTAAGGAGTGAACTGTTCCCATTCCGAGAGTGACAGCGCCTTGAGGCACCCAGGAGGGTGGAAGCTGTATGTAATTGGTAGCACGCGTCATGCTTGTGTGCTCAGGATCCAGAGTGCCCTGCTCAGGTCCCCTTCCCTGTGCCTCAGTTTCTCTGCCAGTATGTGGTCTGTGGCCACATTGAGGGGTGAACCTCCTCCAATTGCACTGCCTGTTGACTCCATGCAGGGAGCCCCATGCCATGTGCAGGAGGACATCATGCTGGGGGCCCCGAGGCCCCAGGAGCGAGGGACGTGCCAGCGTAGCAGCAGCTCCTGCAGTCTGAACCTTGCTCTTCTGCCGGCACTGTGCCTGGGCCTGTTTGCATGCTGGGTGTGGGGAGTGGGCTCACCTGCAGCTGGGGTCAGGAGCGAGCGTGGCCTGCTCTCCAGATACACTTGCCTTTGCCTCTGTTTCTGATGCCTTTGCACACACTGAAGCGGGGTTGCAATGAGCTCCCTATGCAGACCCTGTGGTCCTAGAGGTTGGGCCCCAAGTGCACAGAACTCACTGTCCAGCTTCGCTGGGACCCCTCCTTTGGGGCATTCTTGCCCCTCCCTGGTCCTTAGCTCATCCCCAGCTAGTTTATCTTTTCCCACCCACCTTATAGCATGGACACCCCACCCAGCCAGAGCGGGGTTTAAATTCCACCCAGCTTGGTCATTGACCTAGGAGGTGACCTTGGCCCTGTTCCTGTTCTTCTCCACAAGCTTGTGGGATGTCATTTGGAGGGGACAGAAGGCCAGAAATATTTTTATTAAAAACCCCTCCCAGCCGGGTGTGGTGGTACATGCTCATAATCCCAGCACTCCAGGAGGCTGAGGACAGAGGACCTAAAGTTCAAGTCCAGCCTGGGCAATTTAGCCACCCAAAACCCTGTTCAAAGTATTAAAAGTAATAATTATTTTAAAAGGGCTGGGCTGGGTCCCCGCGATGGCTCTGGCCTGGACACGCAGCTCTGCCTTGCGTCCTGCAGGAATCCAGATGAGATCTGGAGTGACGCAGCTACCCTTGGAGCTTGCACAGTGCCAGGGAGGATCCTACAGTTTTGCCACCAGGACAGCGATGTACCCTCTGATATGAGAAGGAGCCAAGAGTCAGGTTCTGTATGTCTTGCAACTTTATGACAAGATTGACTCAGAAGAGCTCTTCATACATTGTAATTTTAAGGGCTGGCCAAATAGCTCAGCGGATCAAAGCACCCGCAAGCAGGCGCAGGGGCCAGGGGTTCGATCCCCAGGCCTGCCCTGCCGGCCCTGCCCCACTGAGACAGCAATTGAGACTGGGCATGTGGTGCGTGCCTGTAATCTCAGCTCTTGGGAGGCTGTAAATAGGTGGATCACTACAAGTCCCATCTATAGTGAGACCCTGAACAACCTGTAGATCCTTTCCTAAAATATAAAAAAAAATAAAAAATTCCCATTTTATGAAAGACCTGGGCTTAGACATTT